TATTCCAAGATCCCGCCTGTAAGAGGACATGCCCGACCCAAGGTAGTAGTGACCTTTCTCCAGAGTGACCCGAGCAGGAGGGGGAGGGGGAGGGGGAGGGGGAGGAGGAGGAGGAGGAGGAGGAGGAGGAGGAGGAGGAGGAGGAACAGGAGAAGGATGATGATGTGGAGGAGGAGGAGGAGGAGGAGGAGGAGGAGGAGGAGGAGGAGGAGGATGATGTGGAGGAGGAGGAGGAGGAGAAACCCCTCCGATCGCCGAAGGCGATGCGACAGCAGCCGCTTGCGCGTCTGGCGGTGTGCTCAAAGGGCCCCCCGCTTGGCCGCGCACGACGGGCCACTCTTGCCCATAGGGTCGCTCTTGCGTGTAGCCGACCGCGTCGACGCTGCGATTTTGGAAGCCCCGGGGCGTTTGGTTTCCGGGATGTTGTTTGGGTGCTCCTGGATTTTTGTTCGTGGGTTCTCTTCAGGGGAGCAAGAGGTCGTCAGACTGAGCCGTTCCAGAATTCTAGACGCTTCGCGTAACCCCACCCGTTAATTACTTCTCCCTGGGTGCTGGGTTCCCATCAGACTCCCTGGGCAGCAGCACCCTTGCACCCGCCGCCCGGCGCCGGCCGCGGTACGCGCGCGCCCCCGGCCAATTTGTAGCGGCCGCAGCCCGACCGTTACCCGCCGCCGCTGGCGCTTCCGCCCGCGGCTGTAAAACAAAAAGTAACCCCACCAGCTTGAGCTGACACGATGCAGTTGTGTGACCTACGGCACGGACGTCGTCCGGGTGTGCCTGTCGGTCCTGCTCGTCTCTGACCGTGCCTTGTACCGACTCAAACCGAGTGATTGACCTCTGCGTGTTTATGGTCGCGCCGCCGCGCCATTTTGGCTGCGCTTACTTGCTGGTCGCCGCCGGGATCTCCACGCCACCGGGTTGGGAGTTTCGTTTTTGGCTCTTCTTCTGAGCGGCTGCCCGCGCGCTCGCTTCGCTTGCCTCTCTTCTCTTGCTGCCTAGTCGCGGCCCGACTCGTGTTCCGACGGCTTTCGACCTGATTCGCGAGCCCGCGGACCAAAAAGTAACCCCACCAGCCCATCCAGAAACAATGCCCAGAGGAATTGCCTCGATCAGGGAAGGTGGCAACACAGAGGGAGGGTCCCTCAGTGGAGGCCTTTTGGAACGTCTTGGGGGCCTCTTGGCGGTCCTGGGCGCCTCTTAGAGCGTCTTGGGTGCCTCGGAAAGCTGCCTGGGGCCTCCTATGGGTCTCTTGGGAGCCTCTTGGAGGCCTCTTGGGCGCCTGTTGGGGGGCCTTCCAGTATTTCCCATGGTTTCCAAGGTTGCGCACCGGCTGCGCATTTGGGAACGCATCATGAGCCAATCTTATCATGACTTCATTATCGCCCTTTTTTTGATTTCGGCTGGATTATTGTGTTTCTTCGCGGGTTCTCGTTTCGTGCGTTTTGGACGTTTTCGGACGCGCTTGTGGGTTCTTGGCTGTTTTCTTCCCCTCGCGATGCTCTGCAGCCCGGCTTGTTTTGTTTCCTGGGTTTCGGCTTCAGTTGGGATGGGCGCGGGGGTTACTGAGTGGAGATAGGTTCGAGGTTCGAAGGCTTCGGGATCGTTCGTCGGTTCTCGGCGTTTCGGCGTTTTTTTCCAGCCTCGGGATACTCTCCAAGGGCGCTCAGAGGGGTGCCGGGATCGCCCCGAACGGCCTCCGGGAATCCGAATTATGGCCGTGAGCTGGAGGGATCGGCGCGGAGGTTGTTCAGGAGGAGGAGGAGGAAGAGGAGGAGGAGGAGGAGGAGGAATACTGCTGGATGCCATGTGTCGGTCACTCGCAGAGGGGCTTTGGGGGAGGGTGGGAGGCTTCTTAGAAACACCCCTGCTTCTTAGATGCGGGCCTTGTCTGTAGATATAGTGCTGACGCCTTCTAAACAGCAGCCTCTTCCTAAGAAACCTTGTCCCCTTCTCCGACGCCCTGGTGCGTCCCGCCAGATATAGGCAGGTTCCCGTTGGATGCCAAGGCGGGATACAGCTGGCCGAGCCTGGCTTACCAGTGGGCTGCAAACATGCCCCGAGGGGCTTCGGGGGGGCAACGAGCCGGGCTAAGTGGGCTCCGCCCACTCAGCGGAGTTATCCGTTCGGCCGGATGTGTCCCCCACACCCAATTTGGCATTTTCACCCACCCAGACAGCGTTTCGTGGCCCGATAGGGAACCCCACCGAAGCCCCAAGTGGGACCGCCCGCATGCGCTCGCCATGGTCAATTTGGCATTTTCACCCACCCATTACAACGCTTCGTGGCCCAATAGGGAGCCCCACCGAAACCCCCAGTTGGACTGCCCGCGTGCGTCCACCATGCCCAATTTGGCACTTTCGCCAACACAGCACAGCGCTTCGTGACCCCAAAGGGAGCCCCACCGAAGCTCCCAGTGGTACCGCCCGCATGCGTCCCCCACGCCCGATTTGGCATTGTCACCCACCCAGTACAGCGCTTCGTGACCCCATAGGGAACCTCACCGGCGCCCCCAGTGGGACCGCCCGCATGCGTCCCCCACACCCGATTTGGCACTGTCACCCACCCAGCATTGCGCTTCGTGGCCCCCTAGGGCCCATAGGGAGCTCCACCGAAGCCCCCGGTGGGACCGCCCGCATGCGTCCCACACGCTTATTTTGGCAATCTCACCCGCCCACTACAGCGCTTCGTGGCCCCAAAGGGAGCTCCACCGAAACCCCCACTGGGACCGCCCGCATGCGTGCCCCACGCCCAATTTGGCACTGTCACCCACCCAGTACAGCGCTTCGTGAGCCCATAGAGAACTTTACCGAAACCCCCAATGGGACCGCCCGCATGCACACCGAATTTGGCATTTTCACGCACCCGGTACAGCGTTTCTTGGCCCTATAAGAGCCCCACCGAAACTCCCAGTGGGACCGCCCGCGTGCGTCCCCCACACTCGATTGGCACAGTCACCCACGCAGTACAGCGTTTCGCGGCCCCATATAGGGAACCCCAGCGAAGCCCCAAATGGGAGCGTCCGCGTGCGCCCCCCGCGCCCGATTTGGCACTGTCACCCACCCAGTACTGTGCTTCGTGGCCCCAGAGGGAGCTCCGCCGAAGCCCCGAAAAGGGACCGCCTGCATGCGTCCACCATGCCCAATTTTGCATTTTCGCCCGCCTTGTACAGCGCTTCGTGGCCCCATAAGGAACCCCACCGAAGCCCCCAGTGGGACCGCCCGCGCGCGCTCCCCACAGGGAGTTCCACCAAAGCCTCCAGTACGCCCACCTTGGTATTTTCACTGACCCAGTACAGCGCTTCGTGGCCCCATATGGGAGCCCCACCGAAGCCCCCAGTGGGGCCGCCCGCATGCGTCCCCCACGCTCAATTCGGCACTTTCGGCCACCGTTTACAACGCTTCGCGGCCCCATGGGGAGCTCCACCGAACCCCCCAATGTGACCTCCCGCGTGCGTCCCACATGCCTTGTTTGGCATTTCCACCCACCCAGTGCAGCGCTTCGTGGCCTCATAGGGAGCTTCACCGACGGCCCCAGTGCTACCGCCCGCATGCGTTCCCCCCCCGCCCGGCGCAGCGCTTCGTGGCCCCACAGGGAGCTCCACCGAAGAAGATATCCACAATGGCGGTACCCACAACTTCATATGGTTGGGTCATTCGCCAGGATAAGTTGTTCTTGTATTTTTTTGGTGTCCTACAACATCCGCCTGTAGGAGGACATGCCCGACCTAGGTCGGACATGTCCTTCCACAGCCTTCCCCTTCCCCCCCGAAAAAGTCAAAGCGCATCTTTCCTGACACTCCTGGGGCCCAGCGAGGGCCTTCATGAGGTCGAAGTTGTAACACGGCAGCCGTCCGCCGTGCTTGTTCCCGACGTGGAAGGGTCGGGCCTGGAGCGTCTGGAGGTCCGCACCGATCCCAGAGCGCCACACGCCGCGCCGAAAGTTGCTGCTCGTACAACTCTTCTCTGCTGCGTGCCTCCCGGACCTCCGGCGTAGTGAAGCCATGCAGCATCGCGACAAAGCACGAGCCGCGTGGGGCATCTGTGTAACCCACGTGCGTAAGCCAGGCTAGGCCAGAGACCGCCCAGTTTGGGATTCGCTGGTAGCCCCCTATCTCCTGAGCACCCCTCGCGCCGATCCCATTGGTTTCTGCTCTCGGAGGTGGATCGACCTCCCACCCTGACGCGTCGATTAAGTAATCGGCTTTTCGGTTCGCGACAGGGCGTCGCGGCCGTCGTTTTGCGGGTTCAGGTCCGTCGGTTTCGGTCCCAGGCCGTTTCACTAAGGGGATGTTTACTAAAGGGAGGTTTGTCCACCGCCGAAACTCGGGACGCTCCTGGCACGTCCGGAATGCCCTTGACGAGGCGCAGCTACTGGAAAGCATCCCGAGGTGAGAAAACCTCCAAGGACACACGAAAACGTCCGAAAACGTCCGAAAGCAGGAGCTTGCTGAAATCGGTAGCGCCTGCTAACGCAGGCGCGAGGGTCGGTACCAGCGGGGCGCGCCGGGCGCGGGGTTCGAGCCACGATTGGCAAAGAAGAGTAGTCGAGAATAGAAGAACCCCTGACCCAAGACGTGGCCTCACTGAGGTCCCCGTCTGGGCATTAGCGATCGTGACTCTGGGCGGTCTGGTCTGCTACATCTGCAGCACAGACCCCCCTATGCCCAATGTTTTGGGCTCTCCCGACTCGGGTCCCCTCCCAAAGGGTGCTGTGGGTCCACCTGTCCTTTTTCGGTGCGTACGCCCCGATCCTCAGACCCGTAGCAGACACTCCCGTCGAGCTTCCTTAGGGAAACAAGAAGTGACATAAACATGCAAACTCGGAGGTCCGCCCGGATTTCTCGGATCGGCGCTGGGGCCCCCGGCGGCGCCTCCGGCGCCGCCCCTGGCGCGCTCCGCGCGCCAGGGAGGGGGCCCCAGCGCCGATCCGAGAAGTCCGCGCGGACCTCCGAGTTTCTCTGTGTTCATGCCACCTTCCGTTCCCCTATTCTCCTGCCCGAGGCGCGCGGGCCGGCGGCCGCACCTGCGGCGGGCGCCGCGCCGGCGTGCGGCGGGGAGCTGGAGCTGCTGCTGACGCCGGAGGCCTTCGGCCTGCTGCGGAGGGCGGGGCCGGTCGGCCGCGCCCGGGCGCTGCGCAAGCGCCGGCGGGCTGCCAGAGGTGCCCCTGGCCCGAGGTGCCCCCAGGCCTCGGCCACGCACGGAGTCAAGCAGTGGCGAAGCGTCCTGGCTCGCCTATAGTCCTACCAAACAATGTTCTAAGAACCTTTTGTGGTTTCCGCGAAATGTTCTCAGAACATTTCTGGCTAGGACTGTCTTGTTTGAACACATCGGGTTTCTGTTCTAAGAACATCGTTTTTGTTATTAGAACATCTTTGGGTTCTAAGAACATTTCGTGGTAGGACTATAGGAATGCTGGGACGGTCGGTCCCTGCTCAACAGAGAGGGGGAACGGGGTTGGGGGATCAGCAGCAAGGATGTAGGGGGGGATACGCATAGAGGGGGGGCCGCATCGACCCCCGATCGCCCATGGGTCGCCGACAGGGGGCCCGATGGCCCCAACCTACCCAGGAAGGTGCGGATTCACTATCGGCTGCCTATCGCCGATCTCTCGGCGATGTATCGCCGATTCCAGGTCAATGCATCCCCCTCTATGCCAGTCCCCCCCCAATCGTTGCCCCTCAGGGGAAGGCTGCTCAGAAGCACCCCTGTGCCTTAGAAGGTGCGGGCCTTGTCTCTAGATATAGGGCCGGCGCCTTCTGAGAAGCGGCCTCCTTCCAAGAAGCTTTCCTCCCTTCCACCTGCACCCCTGTGCGCGCCGCCAACAGCCTTTCTCGCGCCGCTTTTCGGAGCCCCCATGTCGAAGAGCAACAACAACGACATAAGCGTAAACCTTGGACGGTCCGTGCGGATTTCTTGGATCTGCGCTGGGCCCCCCTGGCGGCGCCGCCCTTGGCGCGGTCCGCTTGCCAGGGAGAGGGGGTTCATCGCAGATCCCAGAAATCCGCGCGGACCTCCAAAACTATATGTTTACATTCCCGGCGTCCTTGAAGTAAGTATTTTTTGGTCCCCAGATTCCAATCTATTTCAAGCGCCTTCCTATTTTGAGAATCGATCGGTTCTTTCTGCGTTTTGTTATGATCTGGGAGGGCCTGACCCCAATCTACTCTGTCCGCCTTCATATGTTTATGCCGTGTATTAAGGACGGGTGGCAAGGACGCAAGACCATTGGAGGCCGAAGTTGAGATTTTTCGGGGGGGCGGCGGGCGACCAGAGAAAACGGCAAAGGACGGGCCGCAGAGGGCACGTGAGGACCAGCGGGGACGGCAGAGGTACCCTGGATGACGGCGCGCGACCTTACTAGGCGCGTTGACTGTATGGTGCCCCCCACTGGGTCTCGCGAGGGGGTCTCCTGGAGGCCGGGGGGGGGCCTCTCCCCGGAACTCTTGCGGGGGCACCTCGGGCCAGAGGCCATCCTGGCAGCGCCCGGAAGCGCGCGGCGCGGCTGGAGCGGACCGAGGGCGCGGAGCATCCGGAGACTCTCGCCTGCCTCAGCAGGCTGCCAGGCCGCCCAAACTCGGCGTGGGGGGGGTCAGGGGGATGGGGTAATCATCAGTGGATGCCAAACCTGGCTTATGAATCGGCTACATGTGACAAAGGTGGTCAAGGGGGGGTTCACGACCCAGGCTAAGTTCGGCGGCGAGCGAGGGGGGGAGTGAGAAGGAGAAAGCCTTCTCAGAAGGCGTCGGGACTTCTCAGAAGCCCTCGCGCCGTCTGAGAAGTTTTCTGCGTCTTCCGGGGAGGCTCAAAAAACTTTTCAGAGGGCCAAGGGATTTCCGATCCTTCTGAGAAGGCCAGCCCCTTCTCACTTCCTTCCTCGCTCGCCGCCGACAAACGGGGCCGATCCGTATCGTTTGACCTATCCCCCCACCGCGTCATCAGAGGAGGAAGAGGTACCTACACAGCCACCCTTTCTCGTTATTCCCTTTTGTGGGGCCTCCTTGGAGGCCCTCGCTGCAACCGCTAGATTCGACTAGAAATTCTAGACAGAACGCACCCCGCGAGAGGTCCGGGGAGCAGCGGTATTGGTACCCTTGGGTGTCCCCACGTCTTGCCGTTCTCCGTCTCCCTAATCATCATCACCATCATCAGAGTTAAGATGCTCCAGCCTACGTTATTCTTGTTCACCAGAAAGAATGTTGAGTGGAGAGTTGGAGTGCTTTCACGTGTCAGGTCCTGGGAGGCGGTATTCGTTCGACACGTCGCTAATGTGTCGGACAGACACTGCTTCGATATTTTTCAGGTTGTTCGAAAATATGTTTGCCATGTGGTCCTTGAAGTACGATGGGGACAACATAACCCTAGTCATCATCACCACTGTCAGGGATCCTCCCCCCCGATCATCAGCGGTGGCCGCTGCCTGGGAATACCTATATATTCCCAGTGTTGCTGGGTTCCAATCCGTCAATCAGCCCGCGCAACAATATACAGTCGGACCGAGGTATAAGATCGAGGTCGGTTCGGGGAGGGTGCCCTGAGGTTCTTCGTGTGTTGTTGGATGTCATGTTGCGTCCTGGAGGAGGGCACCCTCGAGTAATCTTGTGGCCTGGGGTGCTCTGGCCGGCGGAGGGTCCCATGCTCTCGACGGATGTTCTCGTGTCCGAGGTCAGACTGCAGATGTTCCCGCGATTCGCGGCTGGGCGGGTTCTCGGGCCCTTCCCCGGTCATATGCCCCCCCAGGGCCATGGAACCCGGGCCCGCCAGCCCACCACCTTCGGCAGCCGAGCATGGGCGCCCCGCGTGCCTTCGACGAGATGCCGTCCCCGGCGTCGACTGGTGTCGAGTAGCGTCCGGGCATCGATGAGGTGGCAACGGTTAAGCGCCGATTGGGCGTCGGTTTAGCGTCGACGAGGGTCCATTCGCGTCGGCCTGCAACATGGTGTGGGAGGCTCCCACGAGTTGCCGCCGAGCACGGTGCCTCAGCCCCACCAGCCCCCCGACCCCAGGTTGGGCATAGGCCTCTGGAAGCCAAAGGGGGGCAGCCTGTACCTTCATCCAGGGGGGCAGAGCGGCCAGTGGGGCCCAGGTCACGCCAGTGGGAATGGGGATCGCTTGAACGATGCTCAGTCGAAGTAGATGGGGTCGGTGGATCGCGCGGCATGAAGTAGATGGGATCGGTGGATCGGTCTGCATCGCCGCTGCATCGGCGCTGCGTCCCGATGTGCGACTCGACATCCCCCACGATGCAGCGGCGAGGCGGCGCGGGCCTCCGACATCCATCTGCCCGGGCTTGAGTTTTGGAGGCCTCCGAGGCTGGCGTCGCTCCTGAGTGAGCTGGGCCAGCTCGAGGAGGCCCGAGGGCCCGCACCAAGCCCTGAGACCCGGGCGTTGCGACTCTCTCACACTTCTGGGTGACCCAAAAGGGGGTCCAGCTGAAAGGGGGTGGTGCAATAGATTTGGCGCAAGTATTGCACATGTATTGCGCCGGAGAATTGTATTGCATTGTATTGCAAGTAATGTATTGCACGCAAAAGCCCAGCAGTACGTTTGCGCCACGAAATGTATTGCACGCCCCAATTCTACTGCAACCCCACAAATCTATTGCACCACATCTATTGCACCACACCCTTGTCGCTGGACCCCCATTTGGGTCAACCCGAACACTGGACGTCTTCGCCTCGCTGCGGGCCCCAGGACCATCACAGGCCCATGCGGCTCGAAAAGTGCCGCGGGGAGCGACGTGGCCAGGCCTCCGGGCGTGTGTTTGTGCTCGGCGCCGCCTGCTTGCCCTCGCCGCAGGGCCTCGGGGCAGCGCGCCCTGCGCGCGAGCAGAAGCCTCGAAGGGGTTCTGCGCAGGTTTCGCGGCCGATTCGGCAGAGGCCCCCCCCCCCTCGAGGCCTCCCAGATGGGGTCCGAGTAGATGGCGTCGGAGGATAGCGCCGCATCGCCGATTGTCCCCACGCCGACGTCCCCGATACGTCGCCGACTTCGCCGATGCATCTGCGATGCATTGTCGTCGCGGCGCGATCCTCCGACCCCATCTGCTCGGACTCCATCTAGGAGGCCTCTACCCCCCCAGACCCCCGACGCCATGATTTTTTCATGACCTCGACCCCCAGAGGTCTCGACCCATGCCCCATTGACCAGCTTCTGAGCCTGAGGCGCTCTTGGACGGCCCGGAGGCCCGGCGGGGGCCCCCAAGAGTCCGAAAGCTTAGTGAAAAGCTCGCCGTCTCGATCGTTGTCGCGGTTCGAGAGTCGGGCCGCACGAAAGGGGGGATTGGGAAAGGGGGGGTTACGAAATGTGCTGCATGCAGCTGGTTTCGGCCCCACCGAGGGGGCCATTCCTCGATACATAGCCGCCTCCAGCGCTGGGAGGCGCCGGGAAAATCAGCTCCATGAGCTGATTCTCAAACCCCCCCTTTGCTATCCCCCCCTTTCGCCCGACCCGAGAGAGGGTCCGGGCCCGTCCCCGCCCCCGCCGGGCGGCGCGCGGCTCCGCGCGGGCCAAGGGAGGGAAGTCAGCGTCGCCTGCCTATCCTCAGGGGCAGCGATCGGGGGGGACAGGCTTAAGGCCGGCATGTCCCTCGACAGGAGGGATATTCCAGCGTACTCGAAACTAGTGTAGGGACTCTTTTCGTGCTTTCCTCATGTGTTTGTATATTTGTTGGCTCTCCTTATCCGTAAGGGCTTCGCCCCCTGCCGCCGGCCCCCTCTCTCGGAGAATGGGCCATGGAAGAGCTAAGTCATGAGGCTTTGGCGCTGTCGCGCAGCAGTATCGGAACTTCATGCGAGGCCGATTCACAATCGGCAAAACCAACTGATCACAAGAGGGGTTACCACACAGGGCTATTGGTAAGACGTGTATGGTTTACGAGCTTGGTTACCACACCTTGGGATTAAAGGGCCGAGGGAGTACTCGCAGTTTGGGTTACCACGCCTTGCGATGGATGTCCGTGAGGGGTGGCACCGAATTTCAGAAATGTGGCAAATCCCTGTGTTTTTGGACCCTGACCCCGCGGATCTGCGTGAGGGGTGGCACCGAATTTCAGAAATGTGGCAAATCCCATTGTGTTTT